CTGTCTATGTGGAAGGCTGTCTATGTGGAAGGCTGTCTATGTGGAAGATGAGGGGGACAAATCATTAGAGAATATCAGCGTCAGACACAGATGAAGTCAGAGTCCAGAGAGTGGACCGCTGAGTCCAAACAGTAATCCACTGTAGATGTTTAACGATTACTTTCTGAGAATTTTATTGCAAACCAACGGGTGGTTCATGAGAAATTTTACTAACAGTACAGACAAAAACCTGATCACTCTGCCTTGAACTTTAGTGGTGGGTGATAATAAGGTTGTGGTTCTCTCCTCCTTCGTGAGCACCACCACATTCTCCTTAGTTCATATCTTAGATCTTATTACTGCTTTTCTGTTACATGTTATACTTTTGTTGGATGTAACTTGGACCCTGTGTACACAATTTCGTTCCACCACATGTGCCACATGTGGTGCGAATGACAAATAAAGAACCTTGAATGTGGAACCTCCTCTCACGAGGTGAGCTGACGGAGGCTCATCCATCACGTTGGGGAGGCGCAGCAGCTGGAAGTGGCAGCTGTCTCCTCTGTGGGCTGAAGGTTCAGAGAAATAATAAGATGAAGCCGACATTCCCGCCTAGTTTCTGTTGGCGCTCTGGTTCTGTTCGGACCTTTTCACACAGGGGAGTCTGTTTTTACTTGCTGCTGACAAGTAAACAAAGACCTCGTGTCGTTGAGGTGTTTCTGTCAGCCTGAGTATCTGTGCAAGTTCAAGGGGAACAACCCATTTAGATTATTTTCTCTGAGCAGATACGTTAAACAGCAACCATACATTTTGAAAATAAAGGAGTTTGATCAGAATGTCCCAGAGTTTGTGGGATGACGCCTGAAAGATTCAGGTTTTTGTTGCTTCATGTGACGGTGGCGACGTGAGACACAAGACGAATGTGTCAGGAGTCTCTGTCTCGATTTGTTTGGATTTAATTTGGTTCTCGTGTGTCTGTAGGATGGGCGTTAATGAAACTTTAAGGAAGTAATCATCAGATTTTATCTACAACTGATTAACTTTGGAAGCCAACCCAACACAATATGGCCGCCACAATAACTGACCTTAGAAAACCCTAAAGTGGCTACAACTCGGCCATTTTTACAGATATTGAGCTTAATTTCAATGTGGTAGTAGCTGATATTAACTTGTAATCATAGTTCTAACTGACTGCGCAAAATTTCTATTAAAAACTGTGTCTGTTAGCGAAATATATCCATAATCCCCAAGTAGATTTTAATGAACCTTTCAGGAAGTAATTATTAGATGAACCTCTACAAGTAGCTGCCACAACTGACCTTAGAGAATTCAAGAAGGGCTCTAACTCAGTCAGTTTTAGATGTTAAGCTAAGAGTTTGTGTGGTAATAGCTGAGAGTCGTTCACAGCACATATAAGAGCTAAAAGCATAATGTGCCTAAAACTCTTCTATCTTTTTCTAACTTAAGCTAAAGCTTCGGGCATGAAAGGCGGCGGGTGATATGCATTTAACCAAGGAATGCCGGGTCTTTTGTTGTCGTTAACTGAGCTGAAAATGATTTTGTGTGAGTTTGTGACAAGCGGAGACAAAGAAGGCTCAGTTCAGCATATGGCCTTGTTTACAGTAGACGGCCAGCCAGAGAGCAGCAGCACTGAAACCGCAGCCAAGTCCTTCGAGGCAAACCACCAGGAAATGTGGGTCAGAACAAATAAAGTACGAGGTAAAAGAAAACAGCTCTCACAACTCATCCTCTCTGATACATTTTCCTCTAAGGCTGTTTTTTCACTCTCGCATTCAGCTCAGTCGTTAGTTCTTCCAAACTCCAGCCTCGTTTTCTGTCCGTGTTTGTTCAAATCTGGGTGTAAAACCATCGTATCTGTGGCAGTAATTGCTCTGGAAGCCGACAGATGTGCTTTTAAGTGCTAATGCAAGAGTGGCGAGGGGCTGAGCGGCTACACGAGGGACGCGAGCTGAAGTCAGCACATCCTCGCTGATAACAAGCCCCGCGCAAAGTCAGTTAAAAGTCAATCAGTGTTGTTTAGGGGAAACTTTGAAGGCTTCAAATGAGCTGCAGAAGAGGCTAATTTTGCGGCATCTCCAGGTAATGATGTGTTTGGCTGATCTGATGCCAGTTTGTTCAGAAAGACAGTGAATAATCCAAACAGCAGGAAGGAGAAAACTAAAATCAGCTAAAGATTTCTGAAAAACTGGACACTCTCGTCAAAGAATGCAGCCTGCTAAAATATAGGGTTTACTTTGTAGCTTTTATATTATTTCCTTTTATTGGTAAATGCAGCTTCCTCCACCATCCATCATCCCATCCAGTTTGGGTCTAAAACTGCATTTGTTCACAGCCAAGAGAAAAGGCGAGCTCTCGCAGCGTCGTCCAATGAAATGTGGTCTAATGATGTGTGTGTTCATTAAATGAATTTTAAACCATGAACACAATCAGTGTAACACCTCTCCACAATTAAATGCACAAAGCCATCTCCAGGACCTCCTTCTTATAAAGCATGATGCATCGTGGGTAATTAAGACTTGTCACAGGGGAACACCTTGTGGCTGAAGGCTGCAGGAGGGGGCGGCTGTCAGAGAAATCCCCAGCCACAAACAGTTAATGAATATTTCTGAAAGCACCGTCTGAACCTTAAACAGTGTGTATCTTATGAATGAAGCCAACTCGAGGTGTGGTTGAGCACTTAAGGGAAAATCTCATTTGGATACAAACGTTGGCAACTAGCTGATGAACGCTATTCACAAGGGCGCCTCCACAATGTCTTGCAACGTTTACGGGGGTTCTTAATTTACTCGCTTGAGTCACTTGGCTTGTGGGCTTCTCTAACCCATTTCAAGAGTGACACCAACATGTTTTGATCTCTACACTGGTCTGACAGAAAACCAGTGGTGGGATGTAGTACAAGTACTTTGTTACTGTACTACATTTTTCATCTATCTGTACTTTACTTAATTAGAGTTAAACGTGGATACTTTTGATTTTTACTCCACTACATTTTACATTAAGTATCTGTACTTTCTACTACACTACATTTCTATAATGGAACGAGACAAGACTCAGATAATACAAAAGTGACAGTGTTTATTATATACCATGTAAAATGTACAGTTGTTCCTCTGGAGCTCCTGGGGAGGAAGGAGATGATCAGAAGTGGTCAGCAGGATGGATCAGGTAAGATATTGTTTTTGATGATTGTTTCTCTCTTACAGGTTTGAGGAGGTTCGAGGGTTCAACTCCAAATCCAAGGGGAGAGCTCCAGGGAATGAGGAATCCAAGTTGTCAGGCAGGACCGAGGTGGCTGGCAACTGGTGGAAGGCAAGGCACGAGGAGAACCAGGGCAGGACCGAGGGAAGCCAGGACTGGACCAGGACCAAGGAGACTGGATCACTAGAGACAAGAAAGACTGGTAGGTAAATTCACTAATGGTAACTATACAGGCCGGAGGCACAAATACCAATGATGGCTAATGCTCCTGCGAAGAGTAACACCTGACTGCAGCCTTATGTAGTGTGGATCCTCATCAGGGTGGTAATTAGCGGCCATCTTGGACGAAGAACTGCAGTCAGTGGTACTGTTACAATGGCAAGAGGGGAGTTGGTCCATTGAATCACTGCAAAGTGGACTGGTAACGTTACACCCGCCTTCAAGAAGAGCTGGGCCAATGACGTGTATTCTAGTAAATACGTCATTGAGCTGGGCGCACCCACAGCACCGCTACAACCAAAATGGATTCCACTGGGGAGAGCCAGCCAGAAGATACGCACCACCCATGGCCTTATTGAAAGACTATTGAAAGACTATTGAAAGACTATTGAAAGACTAT